GGAGAAGGAGAAGAAGAAGAAGAAGAAGAAGAAGAAGAAGGAGAAGGAGAAGGAGAGGGAGAAGGAGAGGGAGAAGAAGAAGGAGGAGGAGGAGGAGGAGGAGGTGGAGAAGAAGAAGAAGAAGAAGAAGCAGAAGGAGAAGAAGAAGAAGAAGAAGAAGAAGAAGAAGAAGAAGAAGAAGAAGAAGAAGAAGAAGAAGCAGAAGCAGAAGCAGAAGGAGAAGAAGGATAAGGAGAAGGAGAAGGAGAAGAAGAAGAAGAAGAAGAAGAAGAAAAAGAAGAAGAAGAAGGAGAAGAAGAAGAGCACTCCATTTGAGTGGTTAATCAGGAACAGTCTGTGGTCAGAGGAACACACCTTGGAGGACGTTAAGATTTGTTCCCTCCCCATTCCCCTGCTTCATATTCTGCCAGCATTGGTGAGCGGTTGTCTCAAGGCCAATGGCTCTCCAATCTGCGCTTTGTCAGATCCAAACAAACGCACAATGCACCCAAGGGCACAGTGAGTTGATGCCAATGTGCTGAGTGTAGCATGTGCTTATCGGACAGCTATATCGTTTTCCCAGTTTAACTAGTTTAACGGTTTAATAATCAGTTTAATTATTTAATAATTTAACTTTTTTAATTAAGTTATACTGTGGCGCGGAATGAAAGTGGAAATGGATGACGACAAAGGAGAGTAAGGAAACAAAGCTGTGGACGCGGAATCTTCTCAAAACCCTTTCCCTCACCTTCTTTTCCCTTGTTCCCTGCCTCCCTCTCTCCCTCCCTCCCGCCTTCCCAGGTGGAAATGAGAAGAATAAAATCAAGAGTGGGAAGGATCGAACAGAGGAAGAAGGAAGGAGGTGTGCAAAGGGAGGTAGTAGTGAAAACGGATGAGAGGAAGGAGGGGAGTGTGGAGGGAGAGAAAAGGAGTAAGGGAAAGGAGAAGAGGGATTGATCGCACAACACAATTAAAGAAAAGTCTTGAAGATAGTCGAATCAAGAGTTAAGAGTGATAATTAATGGGACCATTAATGACCATCAATCTAAAGATAGCTACGAATACCAAATCTTCTCAAGACCTGTGTTAAGAAAAAGGGGGATGAACAGGTGGTCCTTTCTGTCACTTACCTTCCATTCATTTCCTCCCACCCTCCTTCCCAGCCTGGAAAATGAGAAGAAGAAAATCAAGGGTGAGAATAGAGGAAAAAGGGAAGAAGGATGTGTGGGAGGGAGGGAGGGAGAGAGGAGAGAGAACATATAAAAGGAAGGATGGGAGAAGGGAGGGAGGAAAAAGTGGGAAGGTAAAGAAAGGTAAAGGGAGGGGAAAGGAACTGGTGGGGGGGAGGAACGGGAGGGGGAAAGGGGGCGGGGAAGGAGGGGGGGGAAAGGAAGGAGCGGGGGGAGGGGAAGGTGGGGGGAGGTATGAGAAGCAGAAGGAGAAGATAAAGAGGCATAATAAGAAAATTAGCAACAACAAATGTCATGCTCGTATAACCCCCGAATGGGGTATTGACTAAGAAATGGCATGCTCAAAGTGCACTATAGACAGTGAAATCAAAATGCGTCCAACAGGCTTAGGGCCACTATAATGGAACAGGACATTGCCGGAGGCACCCCCGCAACTCATTATCACCCCAAAAGACTGCCATCACACTCCCATCAGACTCCCATCGGACGCTCAAGACCATCATCAACCCCCCCCAAAACCGCAAGGAATTCCCCTCCAAAAGACCCAAATACTCCCCGAAGACCCCTGAAGGCTCCCAAAAGACCGCCAAATGTTCCCTGCAAACGCTCATCATACCCCCAAAAGAACCGCCGAACTGCCCCCCAGAAAACCCAAGGACCCCCTAAGCCTTGGACTCCAAGCTGCAAGGACTAGGTGTGTGTGTGTGTGTGTGTGTGTGTGTGGTCGACCCTTGACTTCCGAGTGGAACACTGATCAGACTGCTGCTGCCAAGAAAGGATGGACCCTAATAAAAAAAATTCACAGGGTTTGACCTACTGATGAGTCGGTGAAACTCGAACAAAACAGTCTGTCACAGCCCCTCGTTTGTTGTCCTCGTTGCTCTCTGCTGACGGTGTACCAGGCAGCTCTGTTTGACGATATATATACATATATATTCAGCCTCCTGACGAGTCGGTGAAACTCCGACGAAACAGTTTGTCACAGCCCCTCGTTTGTTGTCCTCTTCTCTCTCTCTGCCTACGGTTTACCGG